TTAGTGAACTCAGCAGCAGTTTCAGTTTCTACAACAATTAATCATGTACTTTCGTGCGCCGGTATTGGTTACTGTCTTTTGGCTGCCCACTGGGATGAACATTAGGAGGAAGACAGGAAAGGCTGAAAGCAGGATCGAAGAGAAAATTTAGGATTTCATTGCACTAATTTTGCAGAGAAATCGACAAGATGCACGAATGCCACTGGCTGCGACACTCAGTGTCTCTAATCATCGGTTACGATCATCCCAAGGTCCCCAGCCAGGGAGCCTAACGGAACCTATGTGAGCCAGACTCCTGGTTAGAGTTTTTTACCATTATTCCAGGTCTTAGCATGACCACCCTTGACTTTCTTCCACCCACTACCTGCCTCGGCGAACATCGCTCGCAGTGGCAACCTATCTGGTGACATGCGTAAAACATGCCCCAACTAACATAATCTATGGAGGTCGACCACTTGCTCCAGTGGGCGACCGCATTTACCTAGAACTCTGTGCCTAACCTCAGCATTGCTCATCCGGCTGCCCCACCAGATTCGTGCAATGCTGCGTAGACAGCGGTGTTCGAACACTGACAGTTTATCTTAATCTTGTTTTCTTAATGGCCAAATTTCTGAGCCGTATAGCAGAACTGGACGAACTGCCGCAGCATACACTCGACCCTTAACAGACAGTCGGATGTCGCGACGGCGCCACAGATGTCTCAAGTTGGCAAATGCCAACTGAGCTTTCTGTATGCGAGCTGACACTTCATCCTTGATGCATCCACCGAGTGAGATGTAGCTGCCCAGATAGCAAAATTTGTTTTCTTGCTCGATTACTTCCCCAGTCAAGGTGAGGCTGGGTGTAGGACCGACCCAGTCTTGAAGTAACATTTTACACTTTGAAAGTGCAAAACGAATACCGAAACTGGCTACACTAGCACTCAAACTATCCAGAAAGGCTTGTAACTTACCTGGATCTTCACTTAGTAGCACAATGTCGTCTGTTTGTTCACAAAAAGCCGAGACATAAAAAGAAGAAAACGTCAATGTAACCAAGAGAACC